TGCCATCGACCTTAGACGCACAGTTCGGGACCCCCTACCCGAGATCCGCTCGTTTTGACACCGACAGCCACCGGTGCAGTTTGTAGCAAATGGTCATACATACAACTATGACTATTATCTTGCGGATGGCATCTACCCGAAGTGGCAAACATTTGTGAAGTCGTTGAAAAAACCGGAAGGTAAGAAAAATCTTGATTTCCACAATGCTCAAGCGGCGACTAGAAAAGATGTGGAGAGAGCTTTTGAAATTTTGCAAGCCCAATTTGCTATTGTGAGAGGACCGGCTAGATTTTGAGATCAAAAATGTTTTGGTACATCATGCACGCTTGTGTGATCATGCACAACATGATCATCGAGAATGAGCGTGACCAAGATGTAGACTACTCTCAGTATGAGCTCTTGAAACATCCCGTGCGAGTGCGACGGAGGGCTGAAAGGGTGGCCCGTTTTGTTGCCTCCTATCATGCCATTCGATGTCCCGCAACGCATGATGATCTTTAGAAAGATCTCATTGAGGAGTGGTGGGCATGGAATAGGCGACAAAGAGCATCATGATTTGTGCGTTTGATGTTGTATTGTTGAGCTATTTGTTGTGTTATATTGAACTATTTATTGTATTGAACGATGAACTATTTGTTTGATTTGTAATAACGAAATTGAACTATTTATTGTTGATTTATTTTGTTTGTGTTTGATCATTTTGCTTGTGTCTGGAATGCATATGTTGTCTGTGCGAAAATCGCGCGCGTTGTTGGAGCTGCGCGTGCTATGCATTTTAGCGCGGCTGCTGGAGTCAGCGCTGCCCGCCGCGTCAAACCAGACGATGGATGCGCGGCAAATTAGTTTTTTAGAGCGCGACGCGTTCGGCTGCCGTCGGAGATGCTCCAAGAGAAGGTCGAATTGGATGTTTTGAAGGAATCGACTCACATGGAATTTGGGTCGACGGTTCAGAAGAGTTGGACTCACGCAAAAACAAAATTGAGTCGACCGACCAGTTGCTACTTGCATAACACAGTAATATAGACACCACATTGCATATTCAGCAAGGTATCTAGAAAGGAGATACGTACAACCCCGGCCCCTTCAATTGGCCACCCCCTAGACCAGTGTCCGTATTTTCAGCTAGTGCCACACGTACAACACATACCCTTCGGCCATGTGCCACAGACCCAGTCCGGGGATCGCAGGGGGCAGACGAGGCGCGCACTGCAGCGCCGTGCGACCGCGCGCTGTGCTGCACGAACGCCGGTCGGGCCCGGCGGTGCCCGTGCACGCAGGTCCGCAGGGCGTGAACCGTATGCGAGCATCACGTGTAGGGCGGGCTGTGGTTGGGGCTCGCCAAGAGCAGAGCAGAGCCGACCGTTGGTAATCTACCAGCAGTCCAGCACGCACCACACGCGCATAACATAATCCTCGTTCGTCCATGGGTTTGGACGCACCCATCGTCCGGCCCGTTGGCACCACACACGCGCGCCTCGGACAGAGCGATGGAGTGTGCGTGTGCGTGCGCCGGTCGACCGCCTCCGCCTCGTGCGCACCTACCGGCATGTCGTGGGCTGTGCGATTACCTGCGCCGTGTCGTGTCCGGCCGGCCCGGCCGGAGACGGGGAGGGAGGAGACTTCCAGTGCAATCCACTCAAACGCACGCACAGAGCAGAGCAGACCAGAGCAGAGCAGAGGCGATTAGTTGGCGCGGGCGATCATGTACCACACCGCCATCACCGCGATCATGATGGTTGCTTGCAAGCGATTATCAAGCTAACCGGGGCGTTAATTACGACCGCTAGTACCACTCCAGTGGCGCACCTCGATGTTCATTCATTCAGTCATTCATTCATGGCCGTTGCTCTCAGGCTCACAGAGCCACTCGAGCGATTTCCTCCGCCTACGCATCCGATCCAAATTGGCTATTTCCGAAAGGGGCGCGCTGGCTGGCTAGCTGTAGTGCACATTCCATACGAGGAAGCACTGCTGGACAGAGATCGAACGGGACGGAACAGTAAATTATTATTATCTTTGCATACCCAAAGAAAAGAGAGGAGAAGGTTTGCGTCCCGCACCGACGCGACAATTAATCGCGCGCGGTTAACGGAAAGGAGGAGGAAAACGCAGCGCACCGTCGCAATCATCCCCCCAATCAATTGGCATTGCCCCCAAGTAATTAATCAGAAATTACTCCCAGTACTTAGTACCACCGCCAGCCAGTAACTCTGCATGCAAAAAAAGTTTTAGGAAAAAAAAAACAATCCAGGGGTGTTATGGTCATTTAGCCCAGCAGCTACAGTGGCAGCGGGCAGCTGCGTCACGGGGGAGGGGGGGAGAGAGAGTGGTTCGTCGTGGGAGTAACAGACAGACAGCACACCGCAGAGGGGGAGAGAGAGGAGCTGAAAGGCGTCGTACGCGCTCCCACCATCCCCCACCCCCCCTCGCTGCA